GCAGGCAACTTTATTAATTTACTCATTCCGAGTCACCTATAAGCCTCTTGTTCATTAAGTACGTGCTGCTCCATGGAACGATGTCATAGTAATGAAAATGTTACTTAAAGGCCTCCAATGGCATAGAAATAAAATACCGAAGGTTAAAATATAAATTTTCGGCTAAGAAAATGGGTTTAGTAATTCTAGTAACTCTAATACACTATTTTCAGTTCATAGACTAATGATGACGCATGTTGTAAAGATTGTGAAATAGTTGAAAGCGATAAATATTCTTTATAGCTCACGGACGGACAGGTAACCGTTGGAATACGCCTTGAGACTAGACAATAAGTTGTGTTGTGTTGTATTGTTGTGTGCATGTTACGTGATTGCTCTGACATTTATAAATCGATTTCGATGATTCTTTTTTTGTTGGAAAGGAGGTACCTCAATAGTGGTCCTATTCAAATTTGAAGAAAATATTCCACTTCTAAGGGTAGCAAATTAGGGGATGAAACCGGTTTATTGGATTTTATCCACTTTCCGTGGATCGATTAAAATGGAACTTGCTAAATAGATGTAATTTCTTGCCGAAGGGCACCGCCGCAGCGCCCGTCGCCTTGAGACATAAGTTGACAAGTCCCTTGTGCCTGTAATTTGTAGTAGCAGTAGAGGTCTTTTTGAAAGTGTTCATCCAGGATAGTTTTGCCACCTTACCTATTTCTGCCGCCAAGCAGTAATGTCAGATTTTGAAGGATAAGGGCGCTGGTGAAATTACAGACACATGGGACTTTTTAGATAATAAGGCATACACATGTAAAGCGGGTGCCGTGGACATAGTATATATTAATTAATAACATAATAACCGTACTCTTATATAACAGCTTTTTTCATATGAAATTCATAGAAATACTGAGTGAACTACGTGTAACAAATTTGTGGAATTTTATAACTCATCGAGCTGTCGAAATTCTCCTATGTGTTTTTGTTATAGATGTTTGTAGAGGGCTTTCAGCAATTGTCGCCGCTTGTGACATCTAGGGGGTACATGTCGCTTTTTGATCAGACGTTTTATTGATATTTTTTGTAAAAGAACTCCACTATAGAGTTCTTAGATTTTCGCGATTGTTGCACATAGGAAACAATTTTTCCGGATTTAAATCGCGTATATTTGTTTTTTCAATCAGCCGTGACCATAAGACCTGGAAAGGACCCGAAACGTTTGTTTGAAAAAACAAATATACGCGATTTAAAACCGGTAAAATAGTTTCATTTCCTGTAACTCCACTTGTTTTCTTATTAATACAAAGATCGGACACAGAAAAATTTCTTTATCCCGGTGGGGTCTTGAACCCACGACCATGCGGTATTGCTCTTACTAACTGAGCTGCACGTCAAATTACCAAGCTGTCTAATTTTATAACACTCCTATTTAAGCAAAAAGAACGTATCGACTGATATCGTTCACAGAATTTTTAAACCCTGGTTCTGAAATATGCGTTCAGGCGTGATGTTCATGTTAATAAAAAGGGAAGTTAATTAATTGACAACTCCGCGAACCTAGTAAAGATATTATTATGCAGATGTGGACCTTATTACACAAAGGATGCGAAATCAATTGAAATTATTTGTTCGTTTTCTTTTGATATTTCGTGAGAACCTTGTCCTGTTGTTTGTATTTATACAATAGATTATAGCGTAGATGAATGCTTAAACTGGAGTCGGAAACCTGAAGCATTAAAGAATCACTGGTGATACGATATTCAGAGCGTGAATGGAATAAATGTGGATCAGAAAGTCCATAAGTAAAATCTGATGGCGTAATTTAGGCAAGGGTTACGTCCAATAGTGTATAAATATGTGATGAAGGTAGCGCAGTTTAGCACAATATCTTAGCATTCACTAAATAACAAAACTATCAGCAAAGAGGTCAATGTTAACAAAACGCTTCAAGGTTGAAAATGAACTGTTTATTATAGTTTTGCTAAAAATAGATTCCCGTTTCACAGACACGTCACTTTCGAGGACTTGGTAACACAATGTCTGCGAACAGACGTTAAATGTTTATTGGATCATGCAAATCATGAAGATGATCAAGCGCCAGGGTTTGATGCACAACCGATTGCAGGTTGGGCTTTACAGTTTTGTCACTCAGAAAATTATAAGTTCCCATGTGCCTGTAATTTGACCAGCACCATTCAAAACCGTAACGCAGTAATGCTTCATTTTACAGCTTGGTGGCAGAAATAGGCAAGGTGGTAGATTTTTTTTACAAGGTGGTCTAAAGTTATTTAACACATTGATTGTATTATAATGATGCTGTTCTGACTGCCTTTCAAAGAAGAAGAAAAGGTCACTCAGTTAGTTAGTACTTAGAGGATATTTCATACCGAAATCTATCATTCGAGAAATAATATCGAGTTCCAAGGTTTTCGCGGTTGCTACAAACTCTCATGCTCACGGTTGACTGAGTTGGTAGAGATCATCATCTTGAGACTCGTAGAGAGTCCGGATCATTGATTTATTTAAAAATACACGCGATTTAGATTCCAAAAAATAGTGTCATAAGGTACACTTCACCATAATGAATGATGGATGTAGAGGACTACGTTAACGGATGTGAAGTTCATCATCGCAAAATGGAAGCGGAGATGGTCGAGTAATATTGCACGCATGGAGATGGATCGATCGGTAAACAAGACGGGTTGTGAAGTGCAGACAACCTACTAGTATACACAACAGACGATTTGTGGATGGATGACGTCGGGGAATTTCTGGAACGTGATTGTATGTATATGTGAAAAGAAATAGAAGTTTAACTTTATCCATGAATGATCAGCGGATTGCAGACACATATGGAATATATCACATCATTTCTCAAGATTGTAGTCTATTATAATAATAATAAGGCACATACTAATAGCCCCGCACTAGGAAAACCCTGTGTCGCGGATGCCATGAGCACACACATAATCATTAATAAATTCACGAGATAAATAAATGTAGGCCATACAAGTAATTCTCCCGGTTCGGGTATCGAACCCGGGATCTCTGCGCGTCCGTTAAAAAAGTTTGAACTTGATTGTAGCACACCGCATGTAATCTAGGGTAAAACAACAAAACTGCCAAAAAACAAAAGGTCACGCCTCTTTAAAATATGCCATAAGTTCGTTGGTTTTTCTTCGAAAACAAACACTGTACAAAGTTATATAGGCCGGGCGTGTGTTGAATATTTTCTATTGTATTCATTTTGTTATTTGCTATTGAATAAAACAAATACCGCCTACGCCTATTTGGTATTTAGTGACAAGCGTTGAAGTGAAAGGTGTAAAGATGTTGTTTTATTGGTTTAGCCGCCTTGACGCCTTTTGTAATACGATTTTTGAGACCGATAAAATTATCGTCATTTCCTGGAAAACATTTATTTATTGCATCCTTTACGTGTAAACATAGATCCTGATAAGGCTTTTAACCAATAATTATTCAATATATATACATTTTTTTTATACATTTTTACCGACTTCAAGAAAAGGAGGAGGTACTTAATTCGACTGTATGTTTTTTTGTAACTAACCCGTATTATGGCCAAATTATTGCCTGAAATCTCTTCTTCAAGAAGGCCCGTGCCAGCAATGGATTACATTACCTATTGGTAGAATATGTTTTTATTATAGGACAGAATCAGTATTGATTAGACTTATAGATGATGTACTTATCAACTTTCTTCGAAAATTATTCACAGCTTCCTTCTTTTTCTAAATTCGAAACTCAAAATTCGGTAATTGAAATTAAATTTCATCAACAGCGCGTTTCTTAATCAAACAGTATTTCCGATTCTCATTTCTATTTCAATAAAATCGAAATTATTAATCGATAAGATTTACGATTTTTCAATTTTATTATACCAGAACCCAACACCTTTATACGTCTTCCAAGTACCTACATATTTAGTGCATATTAAGGAGCCATAATTGGTACATGACAAGATCGCCGCTCAATCATATCGAGGCAGTCTTCTCATTACGCCCTTCCATGAAATCGATTAAAAAAATTACACTTTAATAATCTTCGATACGATTTCGATTCGACGTTTTCGACTCGTTTTTAACTTAGCATTACTTTATAATAAACGCGGGATAGTTTAAACTCGTCACTCAAACGCTATATCTAGAATAAACCAGTTGTTCGATTTACTGATCTTGACGTGAGTGGACGTGTGTTTAGTGGAGTGAATTTGAATAGTCACTTTTTGCCAAGTTTTTTTTAAATTTTTGATGGTTTGTGGTGCTCGCTGTTTCACAAATATCGGCTCCTCTCGTACTATCTTGTGTTGCTTCTCGTAAGGCATCGCGGCCATATTGATTTGTGTCGGATCTCGCATTCACGCAGCAGCCGAGCATTGCCGTTATAGCGGGCTTAAGTTTGGAGTTGCATTTTTTGGTTACCACAGTGCGCCACCTGGCGGATTTATCATGGAACATTGAGATCGATAGCGGCGAACTGCATCCGAGAGCGACATCTGAAGGCGTTACCAGTGAGTTTTGTAAATAACTTGACAAATATTGAAAAGTCGCATCATCGTACCTGTGGGGCAGAGATTCGAACCGGGTGCCTCTAGCGCCGAGCGATTGAGTAGGTGAGGTCGGCCACTTGCCGGTTGCGCCACGGTTTGGTGATTACACCGCGGCGAAATAGCAGGCCTCTTTCTGCATGCGAATACAGGGACGATAATATTTTGCTCCGCAGCTTGGTTCATTAACTATAAATTAAATAACATGAATTGTCTAGCTTGCCGAAGTACTGAAGTAGAATTGGGAGAATCTCTCAAATGCGTAATTTGCAATGGTATTTACCATTATGGTTGCCTAAATATTACGTCTGCAGCCTATAGAGAGGCAACCAAAGATCAAAAAAAGAGTTATAAGTGCCCATCATGCGCGAATGTGACACGCCGTGGGGCTCGCAATGATAACACGCCTGTTAAAACGACTAATTTACAGCAATTTAACGATTCCACAATGTCATGCGATGGGCTTCTAGACAACTCAAAAATTGTCGATGCCTCGGTGCCGCAGGCGCCTGCTCTTACTCTGAAAGACATCAGTGCACTTTTGGATGAAAAACTCTCCCATAACTCGTCTCATATGACCAATTTGCGGTCAGCAATTATAAAAGACGTAAAGTCCATGATTACAACTGAAATAAATGGGGCCATTGCAGAATTAAAAGCCGATTTCACAGCAACGACTGATTTCTTAATGGAAGAACTAAAAGAAGTGAAAAGTAAAATCCAGAAAAAAGATGATTTAGTCAAGAAATTAGAAGAGGAAAGAAATGCTTTACAGATGGAGATCAGTAGTCTGAACAATAGAATTGAAATAATTGAAAAAATATCGAGAGATTGCAATGTAGAAATTCAATGTGTACCGGAGTTACGCAACGAGAACACATATAGCATATTTAAAAAGATTTGTGAATCAATAAACGTACCTATATCAGACAACGAGATCCGTGCATGCCGCCGGGTTGCTAAGATGGACACCACTTCGAAAAGACCTCGGAACATAATAGTCTCTTTCGCTTCGCCCAGGCTACGTGATAATGTATTGTCAGCAACCTACCGTTTCAACAAACATCATAATTCCGATAAATTCGGATCGAAACACATTGGATTCGAAGGTGAAAATCGACGCATCTATTTCTCTGAACATTTATCGCCTGAAATGAAAAGAGTGCATGCGGCTGCTAGAAAATTCGCTAAAGACAAGAACTATTCATACGTGTGGGTCAAATACGGTCAAGTGTACCTACGTAAGAGCGAATCTTCTAACGCGGTACGAGTAAAAAACATTGACATCTTAAAAAACCTAAAGTGAACAGTGTAGTTTTCTAGTTCTTAATTATTATTAACACTTAAAATAGATATAAAATTTTAAAATTTGTTACTAAAATGAATTATTGCGTTAAAATAAACAATACAAAATTGTCATCTTCATTCATAAAAATATTGTTTTGTGCCGTATTAACTACTCAGGTGATCTTAACTATAAATTTTGAGAGTGAAATTTGTATTTCTAAGATTAATTTTTATATTCTAATAATTATTGTTGATATTTATCTATTTAATTTTGAGATTGAATGCATCCTTATATCACTGAAATTCATTGATATAATATTTAATTTTTTATCCTTCATTTTTATTATATTTATTATAAGTAATGTTTTTAAAAATTTTAATTTAGTTGCGATATATTTATTTTTAATATATTACTTATTTTATAGTACCATGAACTCAATTATTTCGTTATTTGATATACTTTTAATAATTATACTACCAAGGACAGAATATTTTTTACAATATTTTACTGCTTATCGGTTGGATATATACGTACGTAGTTTTTTTAGTGCTAATTGTGCTGATTTCTTGAAGTCTTTTCGCGGCGGAATTGCGTTCTCTTCCGAAATTCCGTATTTCATGTGTCGGTCGTTGCTGTTATTATTATTTTTATTTTTAAATGGCCCATAACAGTTTAAGTTTCTATTATCAAAATACTCGTGGCTTAAGAACAAAAACTATGTATTTTTTCAGAAATATTTTAAACTGTAGTAATGATGTGGTGATCATCACAGAAACCTGGCTTGTGGACTCTATTCTTGATTCAGAATTGTGTGATAATAGTTACGAAGTCTTTCGATTGGATCGACAGACAGAGTCCGAACGGCGGCGGTCCGTTGGTGGCGGAGTGATGATTTGCGCGAAAAGATCATTACAGGCTAAATTAAGACCCGAATGGTCTCGTGCCCCCACAGAGTTAATGTGGATAACTATACCTCGATCAAGTCTTGGTCTACAAGCCGACTTGCATGTATGTGTGACATACATTGTGGGAGGGAATCACGACCAAAATGTTCATTTAAAAAACGTCATAAACTCTGTTAGCTGGGTAACTGAATCATACCCGAAAGATTATGTTTTGGTCACCGGTGACTTCAATCTCCCGTGTATAGAATGGTCCCATGGAACTCCAATCGTCACTCATAGTGGATATGCTAGTACTCAAGAAGCTGCTACTGCACTATTGAATGATTTCCGTTTAAGTGGTTTAGATCAACACAATGTGTTTGCAAACACAAGTGGTAATATACTGGATCTGATTTTCTCTAACTTCCATATTGACATAAGACTCTCACGAACTCCCCTTGTAAAGGAAGATATTCATCATCCAGCAGTTGCTTTCGAAGTTCGTGATATTTTTGCACCACTATTAGAAAAGTGTAAACTCAATAGACCACTATTCCACAAGGCCAATTATGACATTATCAATGACACTATTTCGAAGATAGATTGGGAAAATGAACTAAGGCAGGGTACGGTGGAGGATGCCGTGAATTTCTTTTATAAAGTTGTAAACGATATAATACTGCACCAGGTTCCAACGAAAAAATGTAGTATTGATTCCTATAGATATCCCGTTTGGTATACTTCTCCTTTAATAAAGGTAATTAAAAGGAAAGATAAAGTTCGTGGAAAATATAAAAAATACGGCAACCCCCGAGATTACGACGAATTTTCTTATCTTAGAAAACGTCAAAAAGTACTGGAAGATTCGTGTTACAATACATATATTAGAAATTCTGAAAATCAAGTAAAAAAGGACCCCAAGAAACTTTGGAATTTCGTCAAATCCTTTAAAGGTGATCGTGGCAGCACGGGATATCCTGGGACTATGTCAGATGGCGCCAATACATATTCTGACTGTAATGAAATTTGCAATGCATTCGGCTCGTTTTTTTATAACGTCTTTAATAAACCTCTGAACGATTATCCACATATGTCATTGAAATCTCCTCCTAGGGGCGATTATGGCTATCTACACTCTGTATCATTCAGTAAAGAAATTGTTGAAAAGCATATCAACAGGCTGAATATAAATAAAGGGCCTGGGAGTGATAAACTTCCTCCTATCTTTCTTATAAATTGTGCCACATCTATATCCATTCCTCTTGCGATTCTATTTAATAGATCAATAAGGGAAGGGATATTCCCGGAAATCTGGAAGGAGGCTCATATAGTGCCTATTCTTAAAAAAGGATCTAAGCTAAGAATTCAGAATTATCGACCAATATCAATTCTGAACACTATCTCAAAATTATTTGAACAATTAGTTTTTAATTTAGTATATTCCACCATTGCAGCTAACGTTAGCTCTAGACAGCATGGTTTCCTCAAAAATAGATCCGTTGTCACCAATTTGGGTGACTTTACACATTATGTACTGAGAGCTATGGATGACGGGTCGCAAGTTGACGTAGTTTATACCGATTTTGAAAAGGCCTTCGATCGCGTGGACCACTCTATCTTGTTAAATAAATTATACGTATTGGGGATTCAGGGTGACTTATTTCGATGGGTTAAGTCATATATATCAAATAGACGCCAAGCAGTCGTGATTGGTGGTAGTAGGTCTGATTTTGTATCCATTCCATCCGGCGTACCTCAAGGATCTCACTTAGGACCGTTATTCTACAACGCTTTCCTGTATGACATTGACAACTGCTTTGTTCACTCTGAATTTCTCTTATATGCGGACGACAAAAAAGTTTTTATGAAAGTTAACTCTTTCGAGGACTGCTTAAAACTACAAAGTGACCTCTTTCGACTCTCAGAGTATTATGAGCGAAATAGAATTGGTGTCAACATTGATAAATGCGTCAAAATTACTTTCACTCGTAAAATCAACCCCTTGATGTATGACTATAAAATAAATGGTAACATCATGCGGCCGAATAGTGAAGTACGGGATCTCGGTATAATTCTAGATAGCAAAATGATGTACGACAAACATATTGCTGCTATCGTCAATAGGGCCTACAGGAATCTAGGGTTTATAAAACGAGTCTGTAACCAGTTCTCTAACATAGAAAGTTTAAAAATGGTATATTATGCCTTCGTGCGAAGTATTTTGGAATTTGGTAGTGTGATCTGGTCGCCCCGGTACACCGTATACGATAAGCAAATAGAGCGCATTCAAAAAATGTTCATTAAATTTCTTACTTACAAGTGTAAAAAAAAGTTCGACACATATGAGGAAGCCTGCAGACATTTTAGTATGAACAGTCTCTCTGATAGGAGACAGCTCCTCGATATGACATTCTTACACGATGTTGTCAATACTCGCCTAGACAGCCCGTCCCTTGTTTCCTTGTTTCGCCTTGTAGTGCCATATAATCGCCGTCGTAATCCTCTTCATAAAGTATTTTACGTTCCACCAAGTCGTACGAACTATGGCCAGAATGAGATAGTTTCACGCCTTACAGCTACGTACAATAAGTTCTTCAGCTGTATTGATATCTTTGCATACACTAAATATTCATTTAAGCGACGAATTAGAGAAGTAATTTATCCACCATAAGCTGTTTTATTTGAGTTCTAACCTATTATGTACATTTAAGTTATAAACTATTGATATTTTACCTTCTATTTACGTATTTATTTATAACACGTTCACACTTTGATTACTATTATTATTATTTTTTATTTTTTTATTTTTTAGTTAATACATTTAAATAAAAGTCCTAGTTATAATAAATTATAATATAGTTATGTATGTTGAACTAACATTTACATTTTTGTTGTTGTTGTTTATTAACTCATAAGCACACTATGTCACGTCATGTTATAATTTATGTTTCTGTGATATCCTGTAATTGGCATCATATACTGGTCATGTAAAGTAGATTTTTAAGCTCTAATTGTATGCTGTTGGATGTCCTTCAATAAATAAATAAATAAATAAAGTTCATTTCTTCGCGTTTGCAAATTACATTTCTAGTAATAGATCTTAGCCTGTTATTGTTGCAGGAGTTTAGTATCGCGCGTCGACACAAGATGGCATTACTAGTATCCTGAATTACGCTATCAAAGTGTTCACACGAGATGTATATAAGGCATTCGAATTTCGTACTAATTGAGTATTGGTTATGAGCCTTCAGCTCGCCCTTTAATCCGGTGGCGCAGTCAAAAAAAAACTATTTGAGTTATTGACTGGAGTATTAATAAACAGTTCCTTTTGTAATTCCCGATACAACGAGTAAAGAATGCATGCGAGCACTTTCAGCTTCATAATTTTGTCAGTTTATCAAGTTCTTTAATTTTTTAAATATAACAATTTAATCGTACTTGAATGACATTTCAGATCTTAAAAAATCTAAAACGGAAAAGGTTCTCGATTCCATCCTATTTTGTTTTGTGTAAGTTACGTGATTGCTCCGACATTTGTGACCCGATTTCGATGATTATTTTTTGTTTAAAAGGAGACACCTCAGTGGTGAAGCCATTCAAATTTGAAGAAATTATTTCATCTCTAAGAGTCGTTACACACGACGACTTTTAGCAGCGATGGAAACGCGCGTTCATTGCATCGCTACAATTGCGATTTATAGGTGATTGCATCGATGCAAACGCGTGTTTGTATCCATGCAGTCGTGCGCTTGCATCGCGTTGGCAACGCTGCTTCAAATCGCGCGCGTGTGTGTAAAGGTAGACGATAGCGACTGCATCGCGTATACATCACGTTTGCATCGCTGCTAAAACTCGCCATGTATAACCGCTCTAAAGGAGGCAAGTTAGGGGATGAATCCGTTTTATTAACTTCTGAGGTCGGTTTTCATTTTATATACTATATACCCGAAGTACACATTTTGATTACAAATCTTTAACTCACGATACGCTACCGACAAGTCGTGAGGTATAAATAGCCCCATATAAAGATGTAACCTGTCGATACGGCTGCAATTTTCCGATCGATCTTTCATAATGGCCGCCGCAGGCGTTTAATATACTTTTAATACTTTTTCTGCAACATCAACTCTAAAA